TTTTCTCTGAAAATATCTGTAACAGGATGTTACAGGGCTTTTCTTTTTTCTTTTTTTTTTTCCTAGACATTGGGATTTAAAAGCCAAAAACAAAAACCAACTGCAGCCAAGAGAGGATGGGTGACAGGACTTCCTTGCAGAAAAAAAACATAGTTGGGAGTAAGTTAGTTCAGTAGCTTCTTCCAAGAGAAGCAGAAACAAAAGTAACACGAAGGTGCTGGTGTTAGCTTAGTTTTACAATTCTGATTGTGTTTGATGTCAAACCCATCAGTTAACCATTGGGGGAACAACAACTTTGCCAGGTCTGTAACTCATTAAGGGAAAAGAAGATAATTAGAAAGAAAAAATCTTTCTGATTTTTCTTGCAACATTGTATGATTTTTCATTTGATAAAACTCAGTAGCCAAAACTTTCTGGAAATGGTGGAAAACAGAATTACATTAATCCAGCGGGGAAGAAATAGGTAAAGAGATGAGAAATTCCTAACAAACTGCATTTTTACAGGTAACTATAGACAAGCTGGGTTTCTAAAGTGTGGGGAGGCAGTTTTAGTTGGCATTCACTCTTCTGTGCCAAAATGGGGCCAATATGTTTTCAGTTCTAATGCCATCAGTGTGCTTTTTTCCTTGGCTCTTGCACTAATAATGCATGTAAAGGCATCATACCCTTAGAATCATAGCAATCTATTGCTTGGTTGAACGGATACAAGGCCAGTAAAAAAAAATATTAAATAAATAAATAAAGATCTTTACTGCAGAAATATCAACTGTTTCCAAATAAGGAACAGAAAGTGATCTTCCTCCTTCAATGTCAAAGTAATCATTACTTGCACGATGATGAATAACAAATGTCTGTGCCAGTAATTCTGGCCATCATATGATGGCTTCATTATAAAATGGAGCATTAGTAAACAGCTGATTGTTCTATTTAGGAAATAAGGCAGAAAAGTAAATAATGAAAATAAAGAATACTTTCCTGCTGCTGCTAAAATGGTATTTTCAGAGTAAATATCTAGTTTCATTAGCAGGCTAATTTCTTAGATATTTTAGTAACCTTTTGAAAATAAAACAATTATTTAAAAGATGCTTTACCAATGTATTCAAAAGGCAAAAACACTTAAATCTCTAAAAATACTAGGTTTCAATTTAATGATATATTTTACTTTTTTTAAAACTAGGTTTTTTAATTTCAAAACATGGACCACTGCTGAGTTTGTGCTGTGCACAGAACCCGTGATGAGAACAGCCTTTTTGGGGGGAAGATACCAGTCATCTTATGCCCCTGTGTGGCCAACCTGGACAGCAAATTCACCTTCATGTAGCTTTAAAAAAGAACTAATGACACTCTGCACATGTAGGTAAACCTACTGCTTTCCATTGTCAAAGAAAAGTACAGTAATGTATGTGTTGTAAATGGTAAAATGGGACTGGATATCATTGCGTGCAGCTTGTATCAATTTTAGTCACACAGGATCCTCGCCCTTATGCAATGTTGTGTTAATCTGAATATTGCCCACAGCACTTGTGAGTTCCAATGCAGCACAAAGCAGGCTGCTACAAATTGAGCATCTGACAACACAGTGTTTGCACATTCAACTCTAAATGTAGAATGACAATCAGAAAATCTAGTCTATCTGATAATTGAGGGCTTTTAAAGACATCTAAAAACTTCAGTTCAGTCTCCTTACTCATTTGAGTAAAACCTATACTGGTAAAAGTCATCAAAAATAATTGAAGGCCAAAAATCTGCCTTAGACTCTGCTTTAGGATTTGGATATAATCACGTAGTTACAATGCTTCCAAAACCAAAATAAAGGTCTTCTGCTTCCTTCCCTTGTGCTTGCTCTTCCAAAATGCAAGATGACTTCCTTCCCATACCAGCTATTTGCCCAATGCCAAGAACGCAAATTAATTTCCGAGACCTTCTAGCATTAAGGCAATCGGAATCACGTTTCCAGCAGAAAGCAGCCCCCTGCCCAGGCATCGGCGCTGCGGAGCAGAGCGCAGGCCAAGCGCCCTCCGGCTCCCAGCGGCGTGCCGGCGCTGCCGGACCCCCCGGGGCCGCAATGGGAGGGCAGGAGCCCCCGGGGAGGGCAGGAGCCCCCGGAGCAGCAGCGGGAGGGCAGGAGCCCCCGGAGCAGCAGCGGGAGGGCAGGAGCCGCGCGGGCACCCCGGGAGCCTCTCGCAGGGCAGCCCTGCAGGGCCCTCCAAGGAGAAGGGCAGTGACCCTCCCCAGCTGCTGTGCGCAGAGACCGACCAAACTCATTCAGGCAGGAGCATGAATCCAGCTCGGGAGAAAGCCGGGATCGCTGCGGGCCTCTCGGAGCAGCCGCTGCCACGCAAAGCATAAGCCTTAAAAGAGCCGACTCATGTGGCGTCTCTATGGACTATGACACGAGGCATTTTGATATATATTCCTGCTCATGTTTTGTTTAATATCAGAAAAGCAAAGCCAAGATAACTGGCTTTCCTCAAACAAAATTACTGTGTGTCTAAACTTTTGGAAGAACCGAGGAACTCTTAAGAATATGGATCATGGTAAAATTAATGGGCATGGATTTTCTCCTTTCGTTCTGTGCATACTGCCTATTTTCACTATGACTCTTTGCCGTAGAGCTTACACTCTGCTATATGATTAATATGCACTAGCATGTTTTCTCCACATTAGTACTTTGCATACCAGCACTTAATGATTCTGGGCTTGCTCTCAGTTAGTTTCTTTCTGGACCCTGAAATTCTCAATATTAAAAAGAGAATGAAACAAATAATCTGAAAAATCAAGAGAATCAGCTCTTTTTTAGTCCCCTGACTATTTAACCTCAGAGTTCAAAGACACATACCACATTATATATCTTAAAAGCAAAATCTTCTCCATGCTAAAGATATTTGGGTTTTCCATATCACAGTTCTGAAATATTAACTCTTAGTGAATGGCCAGTTTCCAGTAGGTGCCTTACACTAATTGTGCAAAGCTTTAAGTGAAAAACCTACTTAAAACATACTGTACATTGACATAATTAAAAACATTAAGAATAATTTTAATCAATAAGACTACTCAGAAAACAGTAGCCTCCAAGAGAAACTGAGGAAAGACTTTTCAGGGACTATTCAATAAACGTCTTCACAGCCATTTTATCAAGAGCAAATAAAATACTGATACTTGCTGTGAGAACAGAAAGAATCCTTTTATTCACAAACCTTAAGTAAGTCTAGATACCACGTAAGACATGATTTAGCCTCTCATGATTGCTCTACATATTGTCAAAAAATTGCCTGTTTTCTTCAGGCCAAAAGTATAGTATCCTGGAAATACACTACAGAGCTTTTAATAAATACAGAAATATTCCCATCCTAATTGGGACAGCTCATAGTGGGTGAGAGGCTGGGTTTCCTAAGAACTGTTTCTTGATAACCGATTTTCTCGAAAAGCAATATAATTCTAAATCTCAGCCATAGCAAATGTAATAAAATATTTCTCTGATGGCTTTTGACTTGTAACTGGTACCATTTGCAGCCTGTGAATTATAAAGAAAGCCCATGCACCTTACATAGGGATTGGTTAAAAAAAAATAATAATAAAAACCAGGGGGCTTGATCTGCAAGGAGAGCTGCAGGGGGTCGGGCTGGGCTGGCTCGTGGGGGCCTCTGCACCTGGGCACGGGCTCCGTTCCACCCCGCCGGCCACAGGACGTGAATTACTGCTCCATTTTGTGGAGCTCCGGACACTCCACAGCACACCAAAGACACGGAGAAAAAAATCCCACTGGCTGCAGATTTCATTTACATAATAGAAAACAGATCCGAATTCACTAAGATGACTACAATTACAAAAACTGCCTCCGTCGTTTTGCATGCCCACTTAGAAATTCGTAACTAAGCTTAAGAACAGTAAAATGAAATCAATATTACAGCATTTTACAAAGAAACATGAACAGTAATTGAGAGCATCCTTAATAGACTATTCTGGGAAATAAAAGGTAAATACTTTTCTGAAGTATGAGGTTCAAACGTGACTGTATTGAGGAAAGAATATCCCATTTAAAAGGTATTTCTCCCACAGAGAAGATTAAAATGCTGGATATAGGCTCTGCAATATTACTTCCACCCTTTTTCCAGAATGTTTCCATCAGTGCACTATCACTATAAAAAAACTACAGGATTCTCTTTCTCTCTGATCTGCTTCCACACTTTCTAGATTATATTCTTCCTCATTTCACCTTCAATATTTAATAGGAGCCTGATAAAGTTCTAAACATCAGCTATGCAGCATGTGTTTACTGAATAATGTAGCAAAAACGAGTATTTTTTATCTCAGTCTATTCACAAAAATAAACAAAAAAAAATTAATAGCCACATCCCACCAATAAACAGCAACTTCTCTCTACCATCCCTAATTCCACAAAACAGTAGCTCTTCATAAAGCAGAGCCTACGGAGCCGGCCGACCCACTGCAAGGCATCCACCAAGCATCGATAATTTGGCTAGTTAAAAGGATTATTGCAAAGCACAGCACACAGAACCCAAGTCCTCTAAAAACAAGAAGCTGTTTTCTGCCTCTTCTCAAAATGCAGGACTGCTAATTTCCATCTTCCAACAGATTATGCATGGTTAAACAGCCACATCTTTGAGCATTTAATCCTTTCACTGCCACATCCGCACAGAAATCATTTCCTCAGACAAATTTGTTTATGAATATTTCATATGCTTCAAGGATTACACCTAATAATGCTACCTTCTAATGGCAGCTAATGTATTTGAAAGATACATATCCATCTTAAATATTTTATTCTATCTGTGCTGGGTTAATTCCTGCAGATAAGGTTTTCATTTAAATCTTGCTGTAAGGCATAAAAATACCAGTGGAAGAGACTCATTTCTACCACAAAAATATTAACGTCAAAGAGTGCAATTGTAAAGGTATCCCACTGAAATACATGTAAACAGACTGCTATTAACATAAGCATTGAAATAGTAAGGGGAAAATGTTATATATCTACTTACCTAGTGTTGTTCAGCGTCTGTCCAAAAAGATCATTTTGTAAAATATTTGGAGGGGATGAGAAAACCCCATGAAAATGAGATAAAACAGAATTGCAGACCTGGCGCAGCGTCTCAAATTGCATTTTCTCTCTTTCCTTCCCTTCTATTTTTCTTCGCCACCTGTCTTAAAAGTCATCTGTTTTGCACACACCATCAGATGCAAACATGCCAATCAAGTTCCATATTTCTCCTGATCTCTGTAAAAACTGTGCCTAAATGAGCAGGGGTTGTGAGTTAATTGTACAGTCATTATTCTTCTAATTCAGTCGCGGAAGATTTAGCACCCGTGCAGCTTTCTCCTGACTGTAGCAAGAATCCCGGGCGGCAGCAAGCTTTTTGGGCATTCCCAGCTCAAGTGTGAAGCGGAGCTGCTTTCATGTACTCTACTCATATTTCTCTAAGCCTATTAAAAACACGCAGTGAATAGATGCTGTCGTCAGGAGTTTCAGCACATCTGGCTGCCAGCTATAAAATCTCCCAAGTAATAAAAACGAGGACAAGGCATCCTCGCAGTGTTACTACTCTCGAAGAGGAGGAGGATTTCTGCATCTTCTCCTCCTCCTTCCCTCCCCTCTAAAAATGACTAACACCACTGACCGTGCACGTAGGTCTTTTTTTTTTTTTCCTCTTTCTTTCTCTCTTTTTTAATGTAGAGGCAGCTATACAGGACAGAAGGACCACTCTAAAAATAGATACCATGCTCTCCATATAATAACATGTAGCTCTGTAGACTTCTTGCCTGTACTTGAAAGGCTATACTGCACCTTACAGGAGATAACAGGATTTTCACTGCAAACATGTAAATGTAGTAGCAATGCCCGGCTAAAGCAAACAATATTCATCTGCCAGAGAGCCCTGCTCAGTTCAGCACTGAATATGCAGCTCTGAAGCAATGATTAATCACACAAAGCTGAAAAATCCCCCAAAGCAATGGCCACTCACATATATAGCACATTTCAAAACAACAAGTCTGCTGCACCAGTTGAAAGTTTACTGCACAGAACGCAGCACGAAAGAACTGAGCAAAATCAATCCGTTCTTTAGGTGCTCCATACCTGTTTAATCCCAGGAAAAACCCTGGGTTTAGGAGCCTGTGCCTCTGCTACGCGGGCAGGATAGGAAATCAATGAGCAAGAAGTACCATCAGCCACCTCCCAAACACAGACTGTGCAGCACAGTGTGCACGGTGAATGCCATGAAATGTCCAAAAAAATCCGTAGCCCTGCCTGACTGCAAACCGGGCTCTGGCTCTCTGCTTGCAGTACTTGGGCCGGATTAGAGGATAGCATTACATAACATTACAGAGCATATGTCAAATTGAAAAATAGCAATTAAAACGATTTTCCTTCGAATACCTTATTTTCTATCCATGGCTTTTAACATCTTAGCGCTAATTACCAAATCTCCACATAAAACCAGCATAAAATGAGGGCCATTATTAAAGCTCTTCCACTGAAAGTGATTTTAATCCCAGGAGGAACGGGAATAAGCAACCTTCCAGCTAATTAAAATGTAGCACTGACGTGCTCCGGAGGGAGCTCCCATCCCGGCGCCTTGGCCAGGGGCAGGCAGCGGCACGCGAGGGCTTTGCAAAGCAAAACACGGAGAGAGGAACGAGCCCATCCACGGGCCTGCAAAACGGGTCCAGAAGACTTCTTAACACTAGTGTTCCAAACACGTACATGGGAAATATCTATTATTAAAACTGTTCTCAAAACAAATATTAAGACCTACAAACTACCGTCCAGTATACGGTATCTGTGTTTCGGCCTACAACAAGCTGTTCATTATGCAAACATATTTTTATTCTTACCAGGAGTGGTAAAACATTCTAGGCTATATGTATCCTAAATCTGATAACAATAATTAGTTCCTACAGCAGGAACTAAGGAGTATTTATGGCTATTTAGTGATAGTAAAATGAAAACAATAATTTGTCACTGTCTTTCCCCTATGCGAGGAAATTCATGTTTGTCACAGGAAATTTGATCGGAAAGACAAAATTTTCAAATCTGCTGCAACACATGGAATTTTCTGTCAGAAATGACTCCAGGCACTCAAATAACTGTTGGCCTTATAAGCAGGGGTTAACAGTATGGAGATAATGTTGACTGTGGCCAACAGTTCACTGCATATTCCAGGCGCATCAGCATTTTGCTGTGTGGTTTATGGATGGTCATCAAAGCCAAAATGCTCCTGCAATTGCAACCTAGGTCTGAATACCTGATATTCACCTTTCTGTGTCTTCCTTTTCAGATATTTAAAGTGAAAATTACGATATATATCCATTTTTGTAAAACTGTCGAAAAATTATTGACAAAATGCAATACATATTTATAACTTTTCAGTTTCTCATTTAATTCTGGTGAACTGAATGACTTCAAATATTCATGCAAGTAAAACCCTTAATGGGAAAAAGGTAAAAGGAAACTTTTTAAGGGCATATACTCCGTCAATTCTATTAGCAGAAAACTGATACATAATTCCTTTTTGTGTGCTTGCACATCTGAAGTTTCTCATCAAAACTGAATTTAGTGTTGACTAGAAATATCTTTTTTTCTAAATTCCAAATATACATATATATATATATATATACGGTACAGAAAAATAGAAAGCTCCTTTCTTTCTTGACCTTTCGATTGCTCTCACATAGACCCTTTCCATTGATATTTTTACTTGGCCTATAAAATTACACAGACTCTATATAGACACATATGAATAAGTGTAACATTTACTCTCATATAGAGTTACTCATGAAGAGTTTTTCTCAGCTACTCCTACCTTTGCCAAAATGTGATCATTTGGTTTAGAAAGAAGCAACAGGCACAACACGAACAAGTCGGAGGGGAGAGAGCAAAGGAGAAGGAGCAGAACAGGTTGTGGCTGGCAGTCCAAAGCCACCAGTGGTGCACACACCAGAGGTATTTTCTGCACACTAATTTTGTTGCAGAACACAACCGTACAGGTACTAGTTATCTTATTCCAACCCTGCTAGTGACATTTTTCTATACTACATATGACAAAAATTTCTTATGGTGCAGGGCAGAGTGATTCACACTCCTTTTTAAAAAAGTTAAGAAATTATATCCTCAAAATACCTATGTTAAGAGCCTCACATAATAATTCTGGAAAAGGCAGGATTTTTTTTCCAATCTGACATTTAATTCCCTTACACTTCATATCTCCTTTTTTCTTCTTGCAAGCCACACGCTCTGTACCCACGAATATCTGTATTAAGAGAAGTACAGGTCCTATATCTAAAAGTTCCCCTTTTCAAAACTTCCTTAATTCTGTATTTTCACGCTTATAAGTGAGGCAAACTTTACTCAAGCAGTCATGACACTGGAGATTTCTAACATTAAAGACCCTGATTCAAGTAATTTTGAGGGTGATTACAGTACTTTATGTATTTATTCTTGCACATGCATTACTGATAATTACGATCCTACATAATAACCAATTTCATTTCTATGCCAGTTTTACAATGACATCACATGCAGATCTGCAAATATGTTATACAGTAGGGGGGGAATGAGTACTGCACGGTCTAGGTGACATCACCAGGGCTGAAATGGCAGATTTCAACATGAAAAGACAGGGCTGGAAAAGTGCTTGTGGCTCCACAGAGCCAGGCACCACTGAGCTCCACAGATACCTGTTTCTCCAGCCAGGCTGAATCCTAATAAATACCCTCCAGCTACAAACTGTTCTGAAGAAGAACTATTCCATGAAGCTCCCAAATGTATGGATTTCTTTCAGCTGGTGTAAAAATATATTTATCCTTCAAAGATAAGATTGATCTTGCTCTTTAAATTTGATGCTAGAATTCAGAAACTTTAAAGGAAAATCTATTATATAAAGAAAGCTGACAATATATTTCAATATGTTATCTCAAACATTATTTAGAAGCGTCATTTTATTGCAGGCATGCAGAAAATATGAGAAAGCTGTAGCTTAAGCAAGCTAAAGTCATGAAACCTCATTAAAACTATCCTTTGCACCTCATAAGGCATTTAAGACTATTCTGAGATAAAAGGTACTATCGGGTATAATTCTGGATTAAACATCATTGTTCTTTATTGGGTATTACTTAAGTACAGATTGATGGATACAAAGAAGAATATGGTAGAGAGAAGTCACTTGGAGCACAGAACATAGCTTGAGGTCCAGGTAGTCTGGCCTATTTATTTCTTTTCCTCTGGACACTAAACAAAATTGAGCATCAAAACACAAAATAAACCCCTGTAGTGCATCCATCATTGGTATCAAATCTCCCCTTAGCAGAGCGTCTATCCAAATAAATATTTAAGATAAATATTTGGGGATCATTTGTTGTAAGTATGTTTGTTATTACAGGTAAACACCTGAAAAAATGCTTTTCACACAGGTGAAACCACTGTGGGCTTCAAGACAACCAGTGTTAACCACCTGTGTGGAAAATAAAGGAGTTTAAATTCAATTCAGTTTTGGGATGTGCTTTCCTCTTTGCTACAGTAGATGAAATGCAACCAGACTGCTGCCTCTGGAATAAAGGACACGTCCACGAGTGTTTCAGAACATCAGTGGCAAAGGGTTAGCTTCACAAGAGGAGCTTAGCAGCAAATAAGGCAAAATCCACAACTGTAAATTTAACCAGCTGAGAACAGAAGACTCAGAAACCAGCAGCCTAAACACCTAAGATAGGAAATAACAGAGAGGGATGCAAGTAGAGCCCCAACACCAAAAGGTTGTAAGTACCTAAACCCAGGCTGCAGGGAAGCATCCGTCTCTGCTCAGGAATCACTACACGGAATCATCCCCTCGAGCTGGACCATGTTTCAAACATGACAATGATCCAAAAAGCCCCCTTACTACCATTAAGGTAGTCCTAGCGGTTAGAACATTGTCTGGGGGCAGAGCCCAAATTTCTCTTCTGCTCTCCTCAAATAGGACCCAAAATCTCCTCATCAGCACTCTCCTGCGTCTTCCACACAGGGAGTTTATCCTTGCTGTTGAGCCTGTTCTCTATCCCATAAAATAATTAAATATTGAAAGAACTATTTATCGCACTGAGTTAAACATTAATTGATAGTGGAAAAGTGATCCTGATATTCATGTGAGCTCGTGTGAGCAGCCAACCACCCAAAACTGTGTTGTCTTGCTCACATTTTTCTTTGCCCTTTCCCCGTTTCCTTACTTTAATTTCTGAAGCATTCCATACATGTTTGTATCATTTGTTTGTATTTATTTCCTTCTTCTGAAACATATTTCACGTTCTATTTCTTCTTCTAATACAAATTTGTACTCTCCTCTTAGCCTAATGAACAAATTTTAAACCTGAGAATATAAGACATACGAAGCACTCCTTTCTCTTTTTCTATCCATATTATTGCCTCTATTACCAGTATTGCCAGCTATCACCAGTATTCATAAGCCTGAACACACAAGTTAATTTCAACCAAATTGGAAAAAAGGGGCATAAATATTAAAAATAATTATGTTCCAACAAGCTATGTGAATATCAGCATCAACATAGGAAAAGAAGGG